GTTAATGTGTGGCATGATTTTTTATTGTGCAGACATGCACACACGCAACTTAGAGAACTGTGAAGGGCACCGGCAGGGCCAGAGGGCTGTGGTTCAGAAGTAGGGGGAAACAGCTTAGATAGGGGCACGGCAGCCACATATCAGGGCAGCTCAGCACCACAAAGCAACATGAGGAGCAATCACAGCTGGACCTGCAGCCTGGTGAGTGAAGGAGGCAGGGGGAGTTCTGGTCTTCCAGAAAACCAAAATCAAATGCCATAATATATAGGTATTTAGAATTTATTTTATTATCATGACTGAGGCACTGGTAGGCTTCCAAATTGCTTTAAATTGTAAAAATAGATCAATAAAACATTGTGTTCAACTGATACTTATGTATATAGTGGCATTTCATTTAATCACGGAAAAATGCAGATTTTGGGGGTTTTACTTAGAGAATTTGCTATTTTAAACAGAGAAAACCAGGATCCCTGCTCATGAGCTAGATGAGATACCATGCTCATCATTACTACAGTATCCAAGCCAGAGGCCTCCTTATATGCAAACATATGCTGAGACTTCCTCTGTGCTAGTTGGGTTTTTATGCCACCCTACACCCATCACAGTGGAAGTGAATAAATACCAATTTTAGCCTAAATTGAACACCTTTAACTAGAAGGACAAAACCACTAAATGTGAACCATCACTATTATTTAGCTTCAGTTTAACATTAGTAACATCTCTGTTCCTTTAAGGGAAGAAGCAGCCTAGCCAGGAAGCGCTGCAGGCCAGGCAGGACACCACAGCTGCAGGTCACCAGGCAACAGGCTAATGGAGCAATTAGCAGGCACCTGCTGGTAGTCTGCTGACCAGATGTAGGCAGGGATCTGGGAACTCATAAGCCCAAAGCTGAGGCTGGCCAGAGGGGAGGTGAGGCAGGGGGTGTCCTCCCTGGCAGTCCCAGGGGAAGGAGCTTCCTGCTCCTGCAGGAACAGTGGGGATCAGAGCTTACAAAGAGCCCAGGATGCTGTAACAGTTGAGTGGAGACCTACACTGTTAAAGGGGCAGGGGGCAATTTTCAACATTTATGTTATGTTATAGCCCAGGGTCTTAGGTTTACAGAAGTCCCATTTGTGCCCATAGGGCACCTGATAGCTTCGAGCACTGCCGGGGCAAGCTCAAGGCTATAGTCAGTACTAAGCTCAGATCTGGCATAGTGCAAAGCAAGGGCCCGGTGCCAGAGAAGGCACAGGGCCCTAGGGGCCCATCGGACAGGGGACAGGGGCCCAGTGACCAAAGGCACAAATAAGAGCTAGAGCCTCAAAAGCAAACTGGTAATGCACTGCTATGCAGAGCAGCCAGGTTCTGCAGTCATCTTGCTACCTATGCAAGCAGAAAACTGAATGCACTGCAACTGCCACATTTGGAACACAGCCTCATGCCTAATCTTAGGAATTCATCTTCCCTCAGTGTACCCAGAGGTCTTCCACTAACATGAAGCAGGTTCTATATAGATGCATGTACATGTTTTGGAAATATATTTCATTATACACAATTTCAAAGGCTAAAACCCAGAGAGACGAGGAGCAGGCTCCTGAGGATGTTCCTTTCCTCAGTTATTTATCTGACTCCAGTTACTAAGACTTGCAGAGTAAAACATTTTATGAAAAAAAAAGGAGATACTTAAACAAATCCACTGTGGGCTTATCAGCTCTGGTGGTCTTAATGATTTGGCAGCTTTAAAGAGTAAAATAAATTCACTTCTAGTGGACACCTGCTCCTCCTCTAGGCTGTGCAGAGGGGTAACACAATATAGCTGAGAAATCAAGAAACTCCTGTGGATAGAAAGGAACAGCTGGCTCCATTGCATTGTCCTCACAGCCATAGATGCCACAGAAAACACAGGGAGTAACAGTGGCGTTCTGTGGCTCCAGTACTGTGTAGCAGCAGCTACTGTATCACCTGCTTTCAAAACTTCACTCCAGCCTGCCCTCACAGTGGGTGTCCACAGCTCCACACAGCTCTTGGGACAACACCTATGGACGAGCTAAGATCCAGAGCTAAGAGACAGCAAACCCTCCCCACCATGACAGAATGACTGCACAACACTGGGAGTGTTATCAGTAGCTTCGTAACACAACACAAGCTGCGTAGAAAGAAGCAGGTTCCTCCTATGACAGAATGAGTGCTGAAGACACACAAGGTTTTACTGTGGCCTATTTCATTTCAATTATTCCAGGGTTTGCAATAAAAACAAAGAAATGGTAAATCAAAGGCATTTTCTTCCCCATTTCTTTTGAAGTCTGTCTGATATGTCTAGGACCATGTTTTACAACCGTTTTGCTAAAACTATTTAAGTGTTTTACACACTACTGGGACAAGGAGGAAGGGATAACTATAACAAGACTTCGGTATCTCACAGGCTCTGTGAACTCAGGAGAGCCAAGCAAATCCATACATAAAACCAGGGCATGTTTTGTACTAAAAATCAAGCAACTTAAATGTATAATTTTAACTTTAGAACAATGCTTTAAAATTCACATGATGCTAAGTCAGTGACTATCCAAGCAAAAAATGCTGTTGGAATAACCCAAACAGATCAGATTCAGGCTGTGATATGTTAATGGCTGCAACCACGGCTAAATTCAGCACTCTCAGTTTTCTTTTTAAAATCACAGAATAGGTATAGTACATGGGGCAGACGTATAAAGTTCCCCTCAATGCCCCACCAGACCAAGCAGGCCCATTTCTAGGAGAGCATGTAATTTTTTTTCTATGCCAATTACACCTGTGGCCTCTAGGCTGAGACTGAACAAGGGCAGTGAAGAATGCAGGGGCTCACAATTATGTTGTCAGTTTTTGTGATCAGGACATTTGTTCACCAGGAACTAGACTGACATGACTGATTTCACACAAGTCAGATGGTAACTGCTTTGTCACTGACAGTGACGGCTGTGCCCAACCTTCCAGTGAAAGGACAGTTTGCCTGAGCTACTGATGTCCTTCTCTGCCAATCAACTCAAATGCTTGCAGCTTTGGAGCAACAGGAATGAAAACATACAAAAGCAATTTTATGAAGTGCTAAACGAACTGCTCTTATATTTTATTCTCCAAAATAGAGCACCCCTCAGGAAAATGAAGCCATGTATTTGCAAAAGAGTGAACACAAAAGTCCACCAAAAAGCTAAATCCATGGAGTGAAATTAAATTATTGCTGTTATTTCTTCCACATCAAATATTACAAAGTGACATTTCAAAGTTATCCTTCAGTTTTCTCTTATATTGAATAAGTAATTATCTTTAATATAAACAACTAAAATATACAGACAAGCATATATACATATACACACATACATACATACTACATTATACTACAGATCACCAGCAGTGCTTATGCAGCAGTCGCTGGACAGGGACTGATAGTCGAAAGTATCCTTTTTTTTTCCCCACCTATATACTGAAAATTCTGTTGTTTCAATGTTTCACCTAAACAAGTTATTCTGAAGATACCTACCAGCACAACATCGGAGGTATCTATAGGAAGGGTTAAAGTATTATTTCTGTGGTAGGTCAAGGGTCAAAAACCCAAAAGACATGCCATGCCCAGTAATGTTATAAAACATTACAGAAGAAAACTGAATACCCAGCAGAGCAACACAACAAAGAAGAGGCGGATTCAGTACTTCCAATTCTGATGTTGGTTATCACCCCAAAACAATCAACGATTACTGCCACTGTAAGTCTGCTTACTCTTAAAGCACTCAAACGAGTAGCAGCATTTGCACTGAACACAGAAATAGGTTAACATTTTAACACTGGAGCATACATTCTTCCCCACTGTCTTTTTACTTACTTACCAAGCCACCCAATTTACATCATCTTCAAAATATGTCTTATCTGAAAGCTATGTGTCCCAGAATGCTTATTGTTACCATGGGTAGACCAGGTTTCCACCTCAAGTCAGAAAGCTCTTTTAACCTAGATCCCAAGTTAATGAGGAAATTAAATAAATTTTCTTACCGAAGATCATATTTCGTAACCCACTAAACACATACCTCTTCCCAAAATCTTTCATTGATTAAATTATTTTGAAGCAAAACAGCAGGAAGAACTACTAATCTAGATTCATAGTTTACATTTTTAAAACACTCATCAAAATGGAGCATATTAAAATGGGGTATTACCTCATTGGGTTTAAGATTAAAACTGTAATGTGAAGCATAGTAAGCTGCATCCCTGTTTTTGTTTAGCTATTCTTGTAAAGCACTTCTGCAGCCCCTCAAAAAAGGTTGTCAATTTTTGAAAAATTGAAAGGTTGTTCAGTTTTTTACCCAGGAATCAAGCAGGCTCCTTAGAAAGAGCATCTCTTTAAAAAGCTAGGTAAGTTTTAAAAAGGACATTTCATGAAAAAAAGAAAATACATTTACTCTACAGATTATACACATGCTGCTCAGGAAATTACAGTGTGTTCAAATGTAAATTTATAAACTTTATACAGGCAGGAAACAAAACCATTCCAGAAGACTCAATGCCAACTTAGGGATAAGAAATACCGAAATCATCACAAGAAATGAGATGGGGACAGGGAAGCAAAGTCACTGTCAGTTTGTTCAGATGCTCTCCCTGAAGAGATATTAAAAATCTGCATCCAAAGTGAACACATTGTCTGTTGTCTCTGCCATTACAGCGAAGCGCTGATACTCTGAAACTCGCTTCTCAAAGAAGTTGGTCTTTCCTTCTAGTGAAATATTTTCCATGAAATCAAAAGGGTTTTCTGCGTAAAAGAACTAGGGAAAGCAAATTTTGTTATTCTGGAATTCACAAAATGACAATGCATATACAACCTCCTCAGGGAATAAGCTGCAAAGCAGCCAATTACAGCTACTCCCACTTTTGGTAGGAGTAAAGCCAGAACTTACTAACTTCTCCGGTTGGTTTCTCTCTCCTCACCCCACCAACCCGTGCTACTGGCACTCATGAAGGAAGCACAATATGTCATATGAAACCCAAGCAAACCTGTTAATATGCATACAGCATTCACTCTAGGAGGCCATGCAATAAACTTCACTTTTAACCCATTAAAGCAGTATGTATATCATATATACCAGGGATATACAGCTACTCCTTGTTTAACATTGTAGTTACATGCTTGAAAAATGCGACTAAGTGAAACAATGTTAAGCTAATCCAATTTCCCCATAAGAACTGATGTAAATAGGGGGGATTAGATTCCAGGGAAATTTCTTCCACCAGACAAAAAACATTATATACCTGGGTCTACAGTCCTCTACCCTTAATCCCCCATGCTGCAGCCTTAGACAGGGCGGCTCCCCGCTGCTGCACACACTTCCAGGGGACAAGGGT